CACAACAGGCACACAGACTACATACAATACACACCAACAGAAGTAAAAAAAAAAAAAAAAGTGCATCCTGCATCTTCTACTGTAAATTCACAGTACAAAAGATACTGCCTTTTAAATACAGAATATTAAAAAAAAGAAGAGGAAAAACAATAGAATAAAAAAATCACTGATACTGTCATGCAGCGCACTGGGGTCTACTGCCAAAGAGCAACTCTTGTGGCGCTCAAGCTGTGACCCGAGTTGGGAGGGAGCTGCACCTGCGTGTTGTTGCAGAAGAGCTTCGGATACCAACAGAGAGTTAAAAAAGTGGGTGATCTAGGTGGTAATGAAGTCCCTGGTGGCGCAAGTGGTTAAGCACTCACCTACTAGCTGAAAGGCTGGCAGTTCAAACTCACCCAGAGGCACCTGGGAGGACAGACCTGGAGATCTGCTTCTGAAGGGTCACAGCAAGGAGTAGGAATTGATACAACTGTAACCAACAAGCCCCCCTTGCCCCCTGCTGCCATCAAGTCCATTCTGAGTCATCGTGAGCCCACAGAGGGTTTCTGAGTCTAAACTCTTTGCGGAAACAGAAAGCCTCCTCTTTGTCCTGTGGAGTGGCTGGTGGGTTCGAACTGCTGACCTTGTGGTTAGCAGTCTGGTGCTTATCTTCCAGCACCACCAGGGCTCCTCAAGAACAAGTAAATAAAATCTCAATTGAACAAGAGTGCAGCTGAGTGATGGGGGAAACGGGTGAGTTGCTGCGCTGTGGTTCACAGGGGCTCTGGACTTTGTCCCCCTTGGCTGGCTAGCAGACACCATCATGTTCTCTCATGGCTACGATGGGGTGTCGCACCGGTTGATGCCTCCCTCACCTGTAGGAACCACCATGTGACCCCTGGGACACATATGGACACACAATCTGAGACTGTCTAGCAGAATAAACAGAAGGTCCTCACAGTCAACTCCATGGTCAAGACCAAGTATCCAATCACAGAAGACAAGAGCTTAACAGTTTCACATAAATACATAGTCTTTGTAAACTATTATTAAGGCACTCAATTATAAAACAAAAATTACAGTGTAGGAAAAGAAAGGAGGGGAGAGCAGCTATCTTTTCATGCAGCAAGCCTGAGAGACGAGCCGGTGGAGACAGGTGGTTAGAAACTCTCACTGGAATCGCAATGACTGAGCCAGAGTACAGTGCCTACTGCAAGACCCAGCTCCACCCACGGCAGCACTGGAGTCCACTCTTTCTGTAGCTCGGGAGACCCTGCATGGTGTATGTGACTAACTTGATTCAAGTTCTGTGTCTTCATCTATGTGCAGAGTGAACTCATACAACAGAAAACACCAAGTCCAGCATGGCATGATCAGCTACATTTGTTTGCCACGCAGTGAGCCTGCAGCAGGGCTGTCCAGATGTTACCTCTCTTGCCAGAGGTGAGGTGGTTATCTTCAGTGGGTTGTGTGTGTTTGGGGGGAGGCCTGCTTGGTGATAAGCCAAACAGTGGGAGTGTGTGAATGCATTCTGGCCCCAAGAATCTCGGGCCAACAAAAAGCAATTCCCTCTTCAGACACCTCAGGTGGTCCTGACTATTCCTGCAGCATGGTGCCAGGGGAGTAGAGGGGTCAGCCCTGGGTACAGATGTACAGGGTGGTGGTAGACAGGACTGGAAGGCTCTTTATCGGGAGGGTGGGGTGCAGCAGGACAGGGCTGCTCAGTGCAGCCACTTGTGTAGCCCTGAGCATCATCTGCAGGCTGTAGCATCAGGGTACCAAAGAGAAGGGTTTGCCACCCATAGGTCCCTGAACCAAAAACAAGGAGGAATACAGAGGGAGCAGGGGGAAAGCTTCAGCATTGTTATTAAGATGTTCCTGCACCCAGGGTCATTTCTAGAAGACTTTATGAAATGGTGGGGTTAGGCAAGCAGCATGGCTTTCCCTCTCTCTGCCGTTTCTCCCTTCTACTTAACAAGCCTTCACACAGGGCCTCCCTACCTCAATGAAAGATGAAGATCTAGAATTCCAGGGCAAGTGAGAGAGGTGGCGGAAGGCCAAGTGCTCCGTCCCCCTCATTCCACAAAGGTACTCCATGCAAGTGGCTGTCACCCAAAGCAAGGCCTTTTGGGGCATAATCTCTCCAAACACTTGGTGTCACTGCAAGCTAAGGTTACATAAACATGTCAGTGAAGTTGTGGTGTTACCTTATGGAGCAAATTTGCTTTCTAGAGACCAACAGGAATGTATTTGCCAATGTGCCTAGAGCTGGGCAGAATGCCTTTCCGGTCTTGTCAATGTGACATTTTAAATAGCAGTTGGCCATCTGTTTATGTGCCACTGATTTGGATCTTTCTTTTTTTCTCTAGGTCAGAGTGGGAATGATCAAATCACCACATCATTCTGTTCTCTCATAACGGGGCCCTGGGCGCTGGTATGTTTAGGTGCTATGCTTCCTAAAACGAATGTAATATTTGCCAAAAGTCAAAGAACCGCTTACATTTGAAATTCTCCCCAGCCTTGACTGCATAGAAAAATTATGGCATTCAAAATGATAGTTTTCAAAAATATGTCATTCTCATACACAAAGATTGATGAAAAACTTGTCATCACCAAAATTTTTTTAAGTTGTATTTTGAGACACATTGATCTACCACATAAAATTCAAATGGGCAAAATGTATTGAACTTGGAGACTATGCTTCTGTTGTCTTGTGTGTGTGTGTCTGTGTGGTAGTGGGTAAGGAGGACCCACAGAGCTTTAGAACAAAGAAAACAGAATAATGTATATTCAAAAAAGAAGGTATAGCCAGGGAGAAAAAGTTCCTGGAGAGACAGGGTTTTGTTTTGTTTTCCCCAGCAAAAACTACCCACTAGTTGGAATCCTGGTGTGGCACTGTGGGTTAATGCCTTGGACACCAGCACAACAATTTTGGGGCCTAGTTTTGACCAGGACTTCTGGTATGGCGCTGTAGGATCAGCACCGGATTGTGAACCACAAGGATGGCAGTTCAAACCACCAGCTGCTCCTCGGATACCTTCTATAGGGTTGCTGAGTTGGAAATGACTCAACAGCATTTAACAGTAACAGTTTTGACTAACATGAGTTGGCAACTTGGCCCCCTACTTCTGAATATGGCTGGCCCTTGAAGGTGTTCTAGATTCACTGATTCAATCTGGCTGATAGAGCTGAGGGTAAGATACCACTGAAGACAAGCTCCACCAGTACTTGCCCTCCATACACAGTGCTACTCTGCATGTGGAAGGGGCGCTTGGCAAGGACTAGGGTCAAGAGGAGTTTGGCCTGAGGTGTCAAGAGGTGAGGGAGGCTTTCAAATTGGCCCTGTGCTGTCAAATACAACCAGAGCTAGTCAAGTTTTGTAAAGGGCCAGGTAGTACCAATGTCCAGGAACCCGGGCGGTGGAATGGCCAAGCAGCTCCAAGGGAGAAAGGCCTGGCAATCTGCATTACAGCCTAGACAGTCCTACGGGGGTGGTCCTACTTTGCCACGTGGGGCCACTGTGAGTCAGAATCCACTTGACGGCACCCAACAACAACAGTAACCACCCTGGGCTTTGCAGGGTGCGTGTGGTCTCTGTCGCAGTTTATTCACTTGTTTTTATAAACACCACTCTGAGCTCACAGGGCTGTATGTCATTGCTGATCCCAGAATTAAACGTTTCGGTTTTTCTACCGGGCATTTACGCAGTCTGTCTCACCCAGTGTCCTGACCTGCAGGGTTCCACTGCTCCAGCTACGTCTGCAGTGGCTCCTTTAACCAGAGGGGCAGGCTGCTCTCTGTCACTGTAGGCAGTAAACACCTTCTCAGAGAGCCTGCTCCTGGGGAGGGCTGAAATCTCCAAGGGGAAAGGAGGTGGCCTAATGTACCGGAGCAGGAACACGCCCGACACAGAGCCACCATCCTTTCAAAACACTGGCACTTTGTAAACCTAAGGAGGACAATTCAGTTCAGCAGAAGCTGGCTTCCTGGGCCCTTTACTCCAAACTGGGGACCACTGAAACTCCCCTGGATGGCGCAATGATCGAACGCTTCGCTACTAACTGAAAGGCAGGCTGTTTGAATCCACCCACAGGCTTCTGGGATGAAAGACCTGGCGATCTGCTTCCCAGAGTCACAATTCTAGGGAGTACAGTAGTACTCTGACACACACAGGGTCGCCATGAGACAGAATTGACTCAATGGCAACTGGGAAAAAAAAAAAAAAAGCAACACTTGAGACCATCATGTACATCATACATTTTCCCTCACGTGACCCCAGTGTTGGCCAGCCACACATAGGCAGCTGTATCCCACCTCCAGGGCGGAAGACCTCCAGCCGCACAGACGGCACCAGGCTACACCATCAGTTGAACCTCAGCATCCAATGCCTTCCTTGGGCCTCACCCTGAAGTGCCTGGTACAGCCAAGTTTCAAAGTCTTAACACTTTTTTGGATCCCAACCAAAAAAGGAAAAACCCTTTCTGACACAGCATTATTCCCTGGAATGAACTGGGGTTGTAATTGTATTTTTTTAAAACAAAAAGCACAGCAAGAACAGAGGTAGCATTTGTGTTGCCGCTTACGAGGTCTCCCTCGAGGGTCTGCATGAGCGAGAATGGTGTATCCCGCCCCGGCCCTGATGCCATGATCAGAACTGTTCTTCTGCATGTTGCAAATGTCATTTTTCTGATGTGTGTGCTTATTTGAACATGCGCTTCTTAAAACGTGCCTCTTGTTGACAAAAACACGACTTGAGGAGTTGCTTGGTGTGGACTGGCCAACAGTACCTGGCTTTCCGAGGCCACAGGGTGGCAATCTCCCATTCTAACTTGTTCTGCATGTTACTTAGTTTTCCTTCTTATCATCCTCTCTATGGCAAGAGAGCGGAACACGTTAGGACAACTTCAGTTTTGTTTTGTTTTGAAGGAGAAGTCAAGATGTATAGGGCTGACCAGAACCCAGAGTGAAGCTAAAGAAGGGATCACTGGAGAAGGTTAAGTTCAAACTCAGTCAACAGCAGGTCAGCTTTTGCTCTCCTTTGATGGACTGGTTAAGTGTCCTGGGGCAGTTTTCCCTGATGGCTTAGAGGCCACGTTTGTGTTACTGGGGCTTGGCTGGGGCTCATGCAAGAAGGAAGACTCACTGAACTTGGCATCCTGGGAGTCAGTGATGGTGGACACGTCAGCCTCACTGGCCAGGTCTTCTGTGGAGAAGTTGAGACTTCCGAGCTTAGCGAGGGAGTGGGAGCGTTTGAGTGGGGAGGAGACTGTGAGGCCGGCCAGTCGGAGCCGAGTCTCGATCTCTTGTGTCCGCTGCTTCACCAGTCCTGGTTTCCCTCGCACACTGTGGATGCTGTCGCTGCTGGAGCTTCGAGTCAGGTTGGAGCTCATGGAAGATGAGGTGGGGGTATAGCAGATGGTCTTCAGGAAGTCTTTCGAGAAATGACTAGTGTGATCCAGGCGGCAGAGCCAGGGAGAAGGGCTCTTAAGAGAGGCTCCTTCCAGGGGCGAGGGGACAGCCTCCGATTTCCCATCGCTCACGGCCTGGCAGGACAAAGCTGGAAGCCCCGACGGATGGAGCGGAGCCAGTTCCTGACTTTCCTCAGGAATGCTGGCTTCCAACCTGCTGGTGGTGCCATCTCTGGAGGGGGCAGCCATGTCTGCTGGTGCGCTCTTCAGCCTTTCTAGCTCCTTGGTGTGTTTGCGAACCAAGCCTGCCCTCTGCAATTGGATGATGGATTCTTGGTGCTGCATCAAATAGCTGTTGGCCGTTGGTTTCTCAGATTCTTTACTGAACAGAAGGAGCCTCAGGTCCTTAGCTGGTTTTAGGTCTCTCTTGGGTGCCGGGTCTTCTTTCATCACTTCCATGCTAGGAGGGGTCTTGTCACAGTGAGAATTCTTTACAAGGAGGGACTTCGGCAGAACTTTTGGGGTCTCTCTGGAAGGTTCCAGAAGGCTAGCCTGTGGGTCTGGGGCAGCCCCAGGTGGAGAGTCACTGGTGTCTGGCCAGCCGGAGCCTGCTGGTGGTAGAGGTGGAGGTGTCTCGGTGGGGCCAAAGGCCAGCTTCTCGAAAGCTCGGGACCTGCTAGACATGTGGCCCATGGGGGAGGATGTGAAGTGGGGGAGGAAGGTTGGCTGTGTGCAGATGGCCGGGGTGCTGAGGTTCTCACACTGTTCCCCAAAGGCCTCAGGAGGCCCGCTGGCTGGAGGGTACATACACTCAGCACAGGATTTGTAGGAAGGCTTCACTTTATTGAGGACCCCAAAGAGAGCATCATGCTGAAAGTGGATAAGAACACTGTCAGAGTGGAAAGGAAGAATCCAAAGACCAAAATCTCCAGGGGCTGGGGTGCTGGGGAGACTGGAGTGAAAGTGTATGGAGACGTTATGCTCTCCTGTCATCAGGGACACGGATAGGGACCTTCAGAACCGCTTCTGCTATGAACAACATACGTTAGAGGTGGGCTGGAGAGACCCACCTAAACTTTCCAGAAGCTACATCCACAGCCAGTGGTCAGAACAAGCAGGGCCTCCTTTCTCAACCTGCCTCTGCCACCAGCTCTGGGTGACCTGTTCCAAACCTTGGTCTCACCTGGAACACAGGAGTCTCATGCCTACCCTCACAGCACTGTGAGAGTTCAGTGCCTCTTCCTTTCTGAAAAAACTACCTTTTTATACTAGACATGGGAAGCCTCCTTGTCTAGCATGGTCCCAGTGTGCCACAAAGAACCATCACCCAGCTGTGGTCGAGGGCCCAGGCCTGACACGGTGCTCTGAGAGACTCAACACAGAGCTAAATATAGGTTCCAGAGGTCTGGACGCAAAAGCCCATTAGGGCCACCGTGGGCTTCACACCCTAGTGGAACACACATCTACAGCACTTCTGAGAGAAAACCTCTGGTGGTGGCTGTCTGCCGCCGAGTCACTTCTGGCTCACAGCAACACTACAGGGTAGAGTGGCACTGTCCCAGAGGGCGTCTAAGGACATAATCTTTCAGGAAGCAGACTGCTACTATTTCTCTTGCGGAGAAACTGGGTTTAAACTGCCAACCTTTTGGTTAGCAACTGAGTGTTGAATGTTGTGCCACCAAGCCTCCTTTGCTTCTGGGTTGAGGGGGTTAACAGGAAAAGAGCGGCTCCTCTGGCTGAAAGATGGAGCAAAGCAGAACGGGGGGTGGTGGTGGGGGAGCTGACCCTGTCCGAGGTGTTTAGCAGTGAGATTCCACCGCTGGTTTAAGACTAAATCCTTTTGGCAGAGAGCTGGGGCCTAGGTTTCTCACAGCTGTCTCTCTGCCAAGAGAAGTTTGGGCAAGGCCAGCTGACTGGCAAGGATTAACACCATCCTTGAGGTCCCTGGGGCAAGAAGGCCGGGCTGGTCCAGTCTGGGAAAGTCAGAGCAGCTGAGTTGTGGCTCTGGTGATGGGAGGCTCCTTGGTAGGAGGGTGTAGTGCGGGACGGGGGTCTTCAGCAGTCAGATCTTAACTAGGGTCCCATTGCCAGCTCTGGGTCCTCCAGTGAAGTCTCTGCCCTGAGAAATCACTCGGAGCCCCCATGAAGATCTGAAGTCTTGACCCACACATTTGTCTGGGGTGCTAACCAAAGTGTCTCCATTTTCCTGTCTTCTACACCCTCTCTGGGCTGACATCGACCAGGGGAGATCTGAAAGAATCTCTCTCAGAACCACGGGGATGGGTGGAAGAGGATTAATTTCTTCAGCACACATCTGGGCACCTGCCATCAGGTGTCAGATCTGCCTCACGCCCAGTCCCTCCCCTCAAGGAGCCCACTGCCCTCTGGTGGAAACTGCCAGAATAGAGAGGGAAGGTCCTTCCAGAGGCACTGATAGCTCAGAGGAGACCAGCAAGTGTTGACTGGGCAAGAGAGGAGAGGGCCTGGGGGGAGGGGGGGGGCAGGAGGAGCCATCACAACTGGAGGAACCCCCCACATCTACTGTCAGGAAGCAAGTCTTAAATCCTGAACTGCAAAGATCCTACAGGGCCATCTTTAGACTGAATAACAGTTTAAGCTCAGTTAATAATGAATGTCTTAGCCTTGAGCACCGAGCACTTTTAAAGAATTGTCTATATGTGATCAAATGGATGATGCAGCCATACCTCAGACATAGCACGGGGCTGGTTCCAGACCACCACAATAAAGTGAGTATCACAAGAAAGTGAGCTGGTCACTTCAAGGTTTTTGTTTTCCAGTGCACATAAAAGTCAGGAGTACTGTAGTGTGTTAAACATGCAGCAGTATCATGAGCTCTCGTAGTGTAGTGGTTATGAATCAGACTGCTAACTTCAAGGTCGGCAGTTTGAAACTACCAGTCGTTCCACGGGAGAAAGATGAGGCTTTTTGCTCCCGTAAAGATTTATAGCCTTGGAAACCCTGTGCAGGGTCACTATGAGTCAGAACTGACTCCACAGTACTTAACAACAAGTATCGTGAGAAAGCTTTTGTGAGAGTTTCCAAAACGTGACATAGTCACAAAGTGAGTGCACATTATTGGGACTTGCTTGGCTGCAGGGTGGCCGCAAAGCATCAGCATGTAAGAGATGCAGTCTTTGCAGAGCACAGTGACGTGAGGCACAATAGGAGGAGGTATGCCTGTAAGTCTAACACACAGAGCAGACCTTGAAGAGGCAGAGTCTAGATGAAGCGGCTGGGGACTTTGGATCCAGAGAGGGAGAGGGACTGTGTGCTGAAGACTGGGGGCAGGGGGGGAGGGGGGTGTAGTGTAGGGGTCGGATTTGTAGGATATACCCATTGGTTGGTTGATGATGCATGGAGGGGATTGGAACCATGGCAATGAAATGATATACGATAGAATGAATGTAAAACTAAAGTTCTCTCATGTAAACTATCATATAATTCACAATACAACATTAAAAAAAAAAGAGGCTAAGAAGAGAGGGCATATGCATAAGAACACCCACACTTGCAGATAATACCCACTTATCCTAGCTTCAGTGACTGGATGATCACAGCTCAACCAGAAGTAAAAAGAAGAGGAAAAAAAAAAGTATTCTCATACAATTTGATGAACTTGACTTACACCTATGAAAGCAGTAGCTCAAAAGAGGGAACAAGTCCTTACAGCAAGAATTATTCCCACCCCCTCCACACACAGAGTAGACAGGGATGGACAACTTGGACATTGGCTACCCAAAATGGGGGGTGGGGGGCTACAAAGGCAAGAAGGGCCTGGAGGAAGGTAGAATCTCCAGTGAGTAGTATTCAATCTGACTAGGCGGGGCTCATGCAATGAAATGCAGACGGGTCTCTTGTGATACAATAGTGAATAATTGTGAGGGTTGGAAATGTAAAGGTAGACGTTTTATAGCAAGGAGAGTGGGACCCTACCCAGAGAATCAGTGATGCCTGAAATGGAGCCAGAGATGATGACGTGGAGCGATGGAGCAGCTGGAGACTTTAGATCCAGAGAGGGAGAGTGACTGTGTGCTGGAGACCTGGGGGGTACGGGTGAAGGATTGCATGGAGGGGATTGTAAACATGGCAATGAGACGATATACGATAGAATGAATGTAAAACTAATGTTCTCCCATGTAAACTATCACATAATTCACAACAAAACATTAAAAAAAAAAAAAGAAGGCAGAGTCTAGGCTAACGGTGGGGAAACAGTAAGGGTGGCTAGGGAGAATGGCAGAGCAATGTGAAGTGTTTACCTTTGTCACGGAGTTACACATGAATGGATGGATTCTTGTGTATATTTTCACCTAAATAATAATAATTTTTAAAAAGGCCCCTCCCAGGATAGCGTGCTGTGGACCATAGGAGGGGCAGCAAACTTCCAGTGTGTTCTTTATCTGCCTGTCTCTCCCCTGCCACTAGCTTCCCCCATCAGGCTGCTGACAGACCACGGGCAGAGGAGTCTTAAAGCTTCCTCTTGCCATCAGAGAAAGGGGGTCTGGGCTGAGGGCCCCTCCTGTCTCTGCCACCTCTCTAATGGCTGCCCCTACAACATGCCAAGCTCTCTCAGACCTCAGAGGCTCACCACCAGCTGAAGCAAGTCTCCAGTTCATCACCTGCTTTCTGCTGTTTCACCAGGCGCCACCGACACTTGTCTGTCTTTGCTACCACTCGCGGTTTACACATAAAGTGCCCTTGCACTATGTGCTCACTATCCCCTCCCCAATCTGCTTATAAAGATGAGTGGACTAGGTGAGTGGGTATCTCTAGGAACTGTCCCTTTGATGGTATCACTCTTTCTATCCAATTCTGCCTGGGGAATGCAGGCTCTGTCTTTCACCCCACCCCATACCTAGCTGCACTGTTGTCTGACGCTCATGGCTAAGCCACGGCGGACTCATTCTAGGCAGAGAAGTCTTACAGCACCTATCTTTATGGGTGGAGATCCCTGGTCAAATGACATGCACTCAACTAACCTAAGGGTAGGCAGTTTGACTGCTGCTGCCTTTGTTAGGTGCCACTGAGTCAGTTCCAAGGAGTAGCTGGTGGGTTTGAACTGCCAACCTTGCGATTAGCAGTCCAGTGCTTACCCTACAGCATCACACAGCCAAGAAAACCCTACAGAGCTTAGCTGTCATGTCACATGGGGTCACCATAAGTCAGAATCAATTCAATGGCAACCAGATTATTTTTGTTTTTTAAAATAGTATTATGGAGAATTTATGAATAAAATGACGTATCTGGGGTTTATTTAAAAATAATCAAGAATGTGAGGAAGTGAGTAAAGGGTGAGCTGAAACAAGAATAGCCATATACTAAACTTTCACAGAAAACAATCAGAAACAGAGCCATGTATTGATTGACATGGAAGGTGGGTGATAGGTTTATATGGTTTACATGATACGTAATGAAAAAGAAACTGCAGGCGATACACAAGAGGGAGGTTGGCAGAGGAAAGATAGAGGTAGCAGGAGACACGGGAGGAATGCCAGAGTTAAAGTGAATAGAGGTAAATATAGCTAACTGGTACATGGAGGGGATTATAATCACCGTAATGAAATAAAAGTACTAGGATTCATTAAATGCAAAACTGATGATCTGCTCTGTAAACCTCCATTCCATTCACAATAAAAAGTTTAGAAAAAGGTAAGACACCTGGCTGGAAGTGTTGCTCAGGATGTAGGTGAGGCATCAGCTATCCTAGGGGTCTCTGACCCACAACCTTCAACATTTCTCATACTCTAAGCCCCTACCAACCCAGCAAGACTGCTCTGAAATGCGCCCCCTGGTGGCTGGAGTGGGAAGGCATGACTGGCCAGAGTAGGGCAACAGGGGCTGTTCTAAGAAGCCAGGCAGGAGGTGAGTGAGTGTGTGTGCGTGTGCATGTGTGTGTGTGTGTGTGGGGGGCGTGGGGGGGGCAAGCACTCGTTCCATGCCTACCTCTAAGTCCTGTGGGCAGCTCCGCTTGCTGTTGTTGTTGTTCAGGTTTTCCCGGTTGAGCAGGCTTTTCTCCAGCTGGGCGAGGGGTTGTCCCCACTGTCCTGCTGCTAGGCTTTCCTCCCTTTCCATTTCCTCCACTTGGGGCAGGAGGCCATGCTGGGCTTTGGCAATCCCTGACTCTGGTTTATTCTTCACTTCCTTCTCATAGGGTCCGGAGCTGGCGGGCGTGAGAGCCTCTGCAGACTGAACGGCTTCCTCCACCAAAGTGTCCCTCTCCAGGTCATTGAGGTGGACAGAGCTGCCAGTGTCATTGTCGGGGGAATGCAGGAGGGGGTCTGAGAGTCGCTGGAAACAGCAGGGGACGGCAAGCCCTCCCGGGAGCCCGAGCTGGGCAGCAGTGTCAAGGCCTGGCAGCCGGGCTTCCAGGGAGCCATCCAGGGCACCTGGCAGGCAGTCCCCAGGATCCTCCACGGCCTGCTGGGCGCTGCTCCTGGCCTGCTGGCGCCATAGCTTGTTGTGCCGCTGTTTGCTGTGGGGAGAAAGGACAGAGGGGGGGGGGTGAGTGGGAGGAGAGTATCCAGAGGTGTCTGGAAGATGGGGCGCAGGGAGCAAGGCTGGGGAGATGTTAGGTGCAGACTCCACAGCTGGTCAGGTAAAACACTCTACTCCTGTGTTCCAGAGAAAGGAAAAACTGGAAGAAATCACTCTGGAACACTGTTAGGGACTGAACTGCATCCCCATCAAATCCTTACACCTGTGACAGTGTGGCACACTGTACGATAAGCACTAGACTTCTAACCACAAGATAGGTAGTTCAAACTCACCAGGTACTCCTTATAAACCCTGAGCTGGAACCAACCTGACAGCCCGTAACAACAACAGCACCCTATCTATGGTGCTTGCTATAGGATAAACTCTAGACTGCTAACCTTCTACAGGGTCCCTATGTGTTGGAACTAACTCCATGGCACTTAATAACAACATACTTATGGAAGTAATCCTGTTTGGAAATATAGCTACTTTGCTATATTAATTAGATCATACCTGACTAGGGTGGGTTCTAAATCTAATCACTTCTGAGTTATAAAAAGTAGATTATTAAAAAAAAAAAAAAAAAGGTTAGATTAGATCAGGCACACATATGGGGGTTGGGAGGAGAGACACTAGAAGCTACTGACCAGGAAGGAATTCACATCACTGAGACTCTGATTTGAACTTGCAGCCACTAGATCCATAAGAACACAAAGTTTTGTTGTTTAAAACCACCTGCTTGGGTGAATTCTCTTACAACACCACGCAGAAACTAAGACAGACAGAACATCATCTAGGTTTACCCAGCAAGCCTTCAATGACTTCCTAGTCACATGCCGGTCTGTTTAGGCACACCAATTCCACTGCCTCTCAGCATCTCTGTCGCTTGAGAGGAAAAGTCTTCCATTTATAATGTATGTAAGTCCTGGTGTGGAGGTGTAGGATAAGCACGGGACCACAAGGTCTGTTTGAACCGCATGGTCAGTAGTTCAAACTCACCAGCCACTCCTCAGAAACCCTAAACAGGGTCACTATGAGTCAGAACTGACTCAGTAGCACTTAATGATAACAACAATCTATAATGTGGGGAACATGCTGGTGTTGTAGGACAAGCACTGGACTTTGAACCACTAAGTCGGTGGTTCAAGCCTACCGGCTGCTCCAAACTAAAAACATGAGGCTTTCTGATCCTGCAAAGATTTACAGCCTTGGAAAGCCTATGAGTCATGACAAATCGGAACCAACTCAATGGCACTTAACAACAATCTATAGTGTGGTGACACACTGGTTAAGCTCTTAGCTAGTTACTGAATGATCAGTGGTTGAACGTATCAATCTGCTTCCGGAAAGATTATAAACCATCGCTGTCAAATCTAACTCATAGTGGCTCTTCAGGGCCGAGTAGAATTGAATTACCCCCATGGGTGATCAAGGGGTTCCTGGTGTGGCATTGTAGGATCTGCACTAGACAGCTAACCTTAAGGCTGGTGGTTCAAATCCACCAGCCACTCCTTGGGAACCCTATAGAGAGTTACCATGAGTCGATTCCGACTCACAGTGACCCTGATTGGGTTTCCAAAACAACATAGATAAATCAAAACAACAGCAACTACAAAAACAAAACAAAACACTGCCGTTGAGTTGATGCTGGCTCACACTGACCCCATAGGGTGGAATAGAAAAACCACCCTGAGCTGCTAACCAGAAGGTCATCAGTTCAAGCCCACCAGTGACTCCATGAGAGAAAGATGTGGCAGTTGACTTCCAAAAAGGTTGTTGCTGTTGTTAAGTGTCTTCGAGTTTTTCTATTCTACCCTATAGGGTCAGTAGGATCCAGAATCAACTGAAAGGCAATTTTTTTTTTTTGTTATTGTTTTTTGGTTTATTTACGCTGTAAGAGTCCTGGTGTGGTGCTGTGGCTTAATGCACTGGACTGCAAAGTCATTTGAATTGCAAGGTTGGCAGTTCAAGCTCACCAGTCACTCCTTGGAAACGCTATACAGGGTCGTTATGGGTCAAAACCAACTCGAGGGCACACAACAGCATGTTGTTAGTACTGTCAAGTTGGTTCTGACTCAGAGCAACCTCTGCACAATAGAACAAAACACTGCCCAGTCCTGTGCCATCTTCATAAATGTTGTTATATTTGAGCCCACTGCTGCTGCCATTGTGCCAATCCATCTCATTGGGGGTCTTCCACTTTTTTGTTGACCCTCCACTTTTCTCAGCATAATGTACTTGTCCAGGGACTGGTCCCTTCTGATAACATGCCCTAAGTATGAGAGACAAAGTCTTGCCATCCTAGTTTCTAAAGAGCATTCTGAAGGCTGTACTTCTTCTAACACAGACTTGTTTGTTCTCTAGCAGTCCATGGTACTTTCAATATTCTTCTCCAACACTGTAACTCAAAGGCATCAATTCTTTTCCGGTCTTCCTTATTCATTGTCCAGCTTTCACATGCATATGAGACTACTGAAAATACCATGGCTTGGGTCAGGTGCACCTTGGTCCTCAAATGGGATGAGAGCAAAGAGTATATATAAACATCCATATATACTGATATAACTATGTGAACCATGTATGGAAGAGCCTAGAAAATACTGGCTTAGGTTAGAGAGATTATGGGTGAGTTTTTTTTTTTTTTAGCCATATTCTTCTAGACTGTGGTTGTAGTTGTTGTTATGTGCCGTGCAGTCAGCTCCGACTCATAGTGACCCTGTACAGGGTTTCCGAGGCTGTAAATCTTTACGGGAGCAGAAAGCCTCATCTTTCTCCCATGGAATAGCTGGTAGTTTCAAACTGCTGACCTTAAGGTTTGCAGCCCGATTCGTAACCACTACGCTACCAAAGTCTACTTTTATAATAACATGGTTCAAACATAAGGCTGAAAAATCGGGAGAAAAGCTTAGCGTAAACTAAGGGAAGTCACCCACCTCCAGAAGAGGCCTTCTACACATTGTCCTACCAGCATCTTGGGGTTGTAATGATTAACTGAAACACTGAAGACAGATGTAAATGCAAAACCACGGTGCACGTTAAGAATGTGCTGTTCTTCTATGCAAGGAAGTACCTGGAGGATTAATTTCTATGCACTTCCAGGCAAGGCCAAGAGGGTCCTCAGACTGGGCTGAAATTCACGGTCAATGTCATGCTGCCTGGAGGCCCTGGGTAGGCTGCACAGGGCATTGACAGGCTCAGGAAGAGGTGAGCAGACCGCACACTTCTCCTCCTTCCCCTGGCTCTCCATCCCCAGCTCCCCCTGGGAGGACAGCAGAGTCCAGAGATACTCTCTGGAGCTGCTGAGTGCAGCCAGGTGTTCCTGCTTTCCCAGAGCAGGCTGAACTTAGCTGGGGTTTCATGCCAGCACTGTCAGAGGTTTGCTTATCATGTCCAGATGGAACAGACAGGAGCAGGGGCAGTGAGGACCAGGCTGCTGGTCTCCAACTGGATGGCCTGGTATGCAGGGAATCTTCCTGGGACCCCTATGCACCCAGGCCTGTCAGGTCCTCTTCCCAGATAGGCCTAGGTGCACAGCTTCCTGGGTGCCTACTGGCTGTATGAGGTGGGACACATTGACCTCTCAGGGCCAGTTCATTATCTGTAAAAGGAGGAGACATTCGACTTGGCAGACATTCTTTGGGTGGGGACCAGAGATGCAAAAATGCCAGGGAGGTTTCTTGAGTGTTTCCCTTGGGCCAGATTGGGCAGTGTTTCGAAAGGTAAATTTGCACTGTTCATGCAAGCCTCACAACAATCTACCAGGGAGGTCTGATTCCAACTCCCAAGGGGGAAACTGAGGCGTGTGCCCTGCCCCGAAGCCTCTGATGTGAAGCCTCGACTGATGGAATGGGGGTTGCTCATACCCATCACACACAAGGTCTGTCTTGGGTTTAGAAATCAGACTTTATTTTCTCCAGCAGCACAGTGCCCTGTAGGTGTGTGCCAACAAGTTAAACAGACCCCTCCTGGAAACTGCCCTTCCAATTCCAATAGTTGGTTTCCTCTGGCCAGCTCCCCAGAAAGCAGGCAGGCTTTCTGCTGGGGATGCTGATGCTGGGAGCCGCGGTAGCACGCTCCAATGCCCACTGGCATGGGCTGATGTAGCTGCAGGCTTCTTGCCTCCCTTCAGGTGGTGGTGTACCCACCTTGCATCCAAGATGCCTTCATACTCAGACAGCTGCCTCATAAAGCCAGCATTGGGCCGTGTGATGCTGCGCTTCTGTTTCACGTAGTTGTAGGCCTTCTCCAGAGGCCAGCCAAATTCCTTCATGGCGTAAGCGATGACAGTGGACGCTGATCGGCTGACCCCCATTTTGCAATGGACTAGGCACTTGGAATGGTTCCTCCTGCCATGATGGGGAGGGGTGAGAGAGGGAGTTAAAAGGTCGAAGCAATTACCTTCTTTATTGTTCACCCAATTAAATTAATTAATTAATTAATTAATTAATTAATACCCTGAAGTTCTCTCATGGCCCAAATCCTGCTGGGTCTGACTGGTTTATGGAATAGACACCTACCAGTCTTTGGAAGGATAGAACTGCACTATAAAACCAATCCGTGTACAATGGATGAGCAAGCTGGACCTGCCTTTCCCATCCAAGTTCTTCAGGGAGAGCTCCAAGGGGGTTGCCTTCAGGGACAGAAGGGGGCTTCCAAGGGAAGCAACACCCCTTGGGGAAAAAGTGGCTCAGCTGGTCTGTGGTGGGAGAAAGAGCTGCTTTCAGGAAATGGGATTAGGGAATAAATAGAAAGCTGCAGGGCTCCAGGAAAGAGGGTCAAGGAGCAGGAACAGGATGGGGAGGCACCCTGACCCAGGCCAAGTCAGAATAGGGCCAGCAAAAGGAGATGGGGGGCTACAGCATTTGTAAGGAGGGATACTGGCCCAAGAACAGCTGATTCAACAGGTAGGAATGACTATCAACAGGGGCTCTCGAAGTCGCTTGCTCCTGAACAAGACGTTGGTATGGTCACCACCTGTGAAACTTTATTTGTACAGTGGAGAGACCCACCCGTCGGCCTGCTGACGTTAGAAATAGCCCAGCTGCCAAGTGGGAGCAGGCTGGTGTCCTATACCTCATGCTTACAATGCCTCCCCAAGTCTCTGCTGCTCTGGAGACCCCACCCAAGGCCCATACAGGGACACAGGACCTAGCTCTGACCTGGGGGAGCGGCTTACCAGCAAGTGGTTTTTCTTAAAGGTCTTAAGGCTTTCTGTTCCCAGCTTCAATAAAACAGAGCAGTTCTGGGGAGAAGACGGTGGGGCAAAAGAAGGGTGAGGCCTGTGATAGGCTCAGGGGCGCGTGGGTCTGCCCTGTGGTCCACAACCAGGAAGATTGCACGGACTCTGCCAGAGACATAGGCTTGAGGCACTGGCCATAAGTAAGTTGCTTTAGGCCGGCTCTCTCCCTTCTCTTGCCTTTTGCTCAGCTACTCGAAGAATGCCCACTTGGTATCAGATCCTTGCCTGAAACAGTGTTGCTAATGAGACTGGGTGGCGAGGACAAGATCATGAGGGCCTTTAGAGAAACCCACAACTATCTCCCTTTTTGGTGTTTGGGGCCCTGTGGTCTAAAGTCGAGGGATGGTCAGCTAGTGCCATCTACACAGTGCCTGCTCATCGGTCCGTTACCTGGACCTGGTTTTGCTGTTCCTCCCGCCACTTACTTTGCTTTGTTTATAAAATGATAGGCTTCATTCCAGTGGGCGAGAAGGTCTGTGGACTCTTCGTCATAAACGCGAATATTATGGTATGCAAATAAGCCGGGGAAAAAATTATCGATTTCTCTTGTGACATTCAAAATGTAGTCAACACTGCAACGAGAACACAAACAGACAAACCAAAGCAAATTTGGAGAATCTGAACCAGAATACTAAAAAACCAAAAAACAAAGCAACAAAAAAAAAAACTGGGCAGAGAAAAAATACAATGCACCAAAACATTAACAAAGGCACATGGCTGTGGTGGGGCTTTTGCTTCTGCCTGGTTGTTTTACTCAAAGTGCTTCCTATATAATGAAGATGTATGATCAGTACATGGAAAAAAACCCCTCAATTTCTTTTTTTTACAAAAAAATAAAAATTTTAAAGCCTCGTAAAAAGGAAAAATCACTTCAAGGTAGTGCTAAGCAATGTGGACTCTAGACAGTAAATAAATGTATTTATGTCTAAACTCCCGAAAGCCTTCATCATTTATGACTGTCAGGAATACAGAGAAATTTGAGAATAAAGCGAAAGTCTTCACTTATCAATAGTTAAGAATCAGAGTATGTCATCCATTGCTTATGTCTTTGGGAAGTGCATCAAATCCTTTTTGAAACAAGGCAGGGAGGAGGTAAGTAAGTAAATACTTGTGAGGACCCATGAACCGAGATTCAGCGTTTCTCTAACTTAAATCAATACTTCTATTTTTGAAAGAGCAAAAATAATTTCAGGAGTTAGAAAGCATCTCCAGCGGATTTTATAAGACAATCCTTATAAATGCTTTAAAAAGACCTATTGAAAACCATGGCTGTTGGGTTGATTCTGATCCTAGAGGGCAGAGTAGAAATGCCCTGAGAGGGTTTCCTAAGCTGCCACCTCTATGGCAGCTGACGGAGTGGTGGGTGTGCTAGAACCCCCCAACTTGTGGTCCACAGCCAGGCGCTTAGACCGCTGAAGTCTTGAAGCTCCTTGAAGCCCCTTTAAAAGTTCATCTGTTTACTCCCAGTGAGATGGATAGCATACCCAGGATGAGCAACCTACATTTTAAGAGTATAAGATTCTGCAACCAGTAACTTTCAAGATGTATTTTAAGGTTTGTTTAGTCTTGATTTTTAAATGTAGTAATTCAAGAATGCCACCATGTCAAACCCACAGGATGGTGATTTTGTGGCTGTGTTTTTGTTTTTTTTAAAAAATGTCCAGACATTTGTTTTGAAGGTCCTGATTTAAACAGCTTTAATCCCTGCTGCTGGGGATTTGAAATGGCTCAGACTGACAGGCATATGTCTCCGGCCAGTACTGAGTCTTGAATGGCAAGATTCCCACCAGACCCAGACCTATACACTTGGGAGAAGGAGCAAGTGTGGGGACCCACACTGCGCATCTCTGCAGGACAGGGAGGTGGTGGGAAGGGACACCCAGCTTATCTGTGTGCAGGCTGTCTTTACTACTCGGGTGTGATTTAGAAACCTCCTTTCCAACTCAAGCAAAGCCCAGTCAAATCAAAAGCTCATGAATTATTTAGGACGTGGCATTTTGAACCAGTTTAGCTCTGCCGAACAGCCTGCCCGCCACTAGAGAGACCTGGCTGCCAGTCATTAAAGTCAGGCAGCCCTGGGTTTCAGGGCTGCCTGGGAGGGTGAGGGGAGACAAGGGGCGCAGACTCACCCAGAGCCCTGCAGCTCCTCCAGGTTGGATGCATTCCATTCAGAGCCCTAGGGGACAGATCACACAGACCCCTGTGAGTGTCACTCGATGGTCTTAAGAGCTGCTTGCGGGAGGCTCGGTTTACCCTAGGCCTGGTGTGCGTGGCACCTCAGAAAGCAAATTCAGATCAGGGGTCTCCCCAGTGAGAAAGAGGGGAGCCGACAGGCACTCACTGGCCTCTAGGCCCTAGGGAAGGAAAAAAAGACTGGAAAATCCGCTCCTGTCTCTTCTTTCCTTTCCTAAGACTCCTACAGCTTCCTACTCAGGAAAGAAGCACTTTCCCATGCCATTAATTAATGGAGGGGGCCTTCTATTTTTTTTTCCTGGGAAGTATTTCGGCAATATTAAAAACGTTCACATCCTCTGGCCCTGTCATTGCGCTTACAATGAGCTATCCTGAGGAAACAATCAGGACTCACACGGAGTTTCAGGGTCACAAAATTGTAAGAACAACCCAAAGGGCCAGCAAGAGGAAATGAATAACATGCATTAGGACCAATCCATATGCTAGAACCATGAAAAGAAATCATACTTTTTGCGAATATTTGATAACATGGAGAAACATCAAACTGACACATAATGAAAAACATTAACAAAAAAAGAAAAGCAGGATATTCAAGTCTATATAGTTTGATTCGTTCCTTTTCTCTTTTCTTAAAGTTATATATACGTACAGAAAAAAACAAACAAACAAAAAATCAGGAAAATAAATACACCAAAATGTTGAGTGATTACCTCTAGATTTGTGGGAGTGAGATGCTTAGTTTCACCTTTAGACTTAATTTATATTTCCAAACTATGTACAACTTGTTTTCATGGAATACTTTTGAAATGATATTAATTAAAAAACAAACTCCGTTTTCTGGGTGCTTGGAGGATGTGGAAGGAGGAAATGGTCGCTGGGCTCTTGGTGGTGGGGGTGTGCCATGGAGTCAGTTCTGACTCATAGCGACCCTACACAGGGTTTCTGAGGCTGTACGTCTTTACAGGAGCAGAAAGACTCATCTTTCGCCTGTAGAACTGCTGCGTTCCTTCACTTTGCTCTTAGGAAATGCTCTTGGGGTTCCGGTGAGCAGTAGAGCCAGCCTTGTCTCCTGCAAACCTCTTTCCCAGAGGACTGTTCCTGCCAGGCGCTGGCAATGTGTGGTACGAGCTGGGCTTTCATATTTTAGGGAGAGGCCCAAACATTAAAATTCCTTTAGTATCTCTCATGGAAAAAGTGACAGGAAGCACTAAACCACAGCAAGAAAACAGGGAACACTCTACTGAGGGTGCAGGGCATTCTTGCCATGATCGCCACCTAGTGGAGGGATAGGAAGAGGTGCTGTTTTCCTGTTGAGGTGGAGATCAGTTGCCCTTGGTCCCCAGAAAATTTTCAAGATGCGCTCTTCTGTGCCATCTACTTGTATACTTAAAAACACAACAAATAAATGAATATAAAAATATCTATCCATACAACTTTTTTCCCAATTGCCATATGTCATTTCCGATACCTGGTGACCCCAAGTGTACAGAGCAGAACTGTGCTCCATTTGGGCTTCTTATGATTATGACCTTTTGGAAGATATCTTCCAAGGTGCCTCTGGGTGGGTTCAAGGTGAGGATACCCTTTTGGGTAGCAGCTGAGCACTTAACTATTTGCACCACCCAGGAACGCCCTGTATCTACACCTACCTAGTCACTGTGAGGACTAAAGTGCATCTGGCCCAATTCATGGCATTTTCAATCCCCTCATATACATGTGAAAGCTGGACAATGAATAAGGAAGACCTTAGAATAATTAATGCATTTGAATTATGGCGCTGGAGAAGAATATTGAAAGTACCATGGACTGCCAGAGGAACAAATCAATGTGTGTTGGAGGAAGTACAGCCAAAGTGCTCCTTAGAAGTCAGGATGGAGAGAACATTGGACATGATATCAGGAGGGACCAGTCCCTGGAGAACAATGTGTTTGGTAAAGTGGAGGGTCAGAAGCTGGAGTGACACAGTGTCTGCAACAATGGACTTAAATATAACAACTGTGAGGTTGGTGTAGGACCAGGCAGCATTTCACTGTTATACACGGGATCACTAGGAGTCGGAACCAACTTGACAGCGCTTAGCAGCAACAATGCCTACCTGATATATATTTGGAGAATTTTTAATGATTTCCTTCAGGTAGAAAGTACATTTTACTCATGTCTTCAACAAGTATACTTCCTCAGCTTTCCTAGGAAGCTATTTTCCTTCAGTAATAATGGCTACCATGGGCCCTGGTGTGGTGCTATATAATAAGCACTAGACTGCTAACTAAGGAGCTCTGGTAGCGCAGTGGTTACGAATCGGGATGCGAACCGTAAGGTCAGCGGTTCGAAACTACCAGCCGCTCCGCGGGAGAAAGATGAGGCTTTCTACTCCCGTAAAGATTTACACCCTCGGAAACCCTGTACAGGGTCGCTATGGGTCGGAACCGACTCAATGGCACTTAACAACAACAACAACAGACTGCTAACTGCCAGGTTGGCAGTTCAAACCTAACCCTATATAGGGTGACTAGGAGCTGGAACTGACTTGATGGCACACAACAATAGCAACATGGCTTCCTTCTGCTGACCTTTTGGTTTTACCTATAGCTCCACCAGGCTCCTATGGAAATGGCACTCAGAGCTTTGACCATGGATCTGGTTGGGTTCTCATAATGACTCCATGAGGAGCAGGGTGAAGGTGACAAGAGGCGTGGAGGCGACAAGAGGCGTGGAGGCCTGATTCCCACCATGCTATGTAGCCTCTCTAATTTTAGAATCATGTCTCCTTCTATCTAGTCTTCTCTGAAGAAGTGCCAGTTGCCTTCTACGGAGATTTAAACCATGAGCAGAGTCTAAGCATGTGACGGAGGTGAAGTGAATCACTGTAAGTTTTGGCCCCAAGACTGTTCTTGCTGTGGGCTTTGGAATGGGGGCAGGGACGGGGGCGTTGGTTGGGATAAGCCCAGAAAAGGAGTTGCACCTCAGTTGTCTGCTGTGTCTACCTACCCTTTTTCCACTTTTAAGAGTCCTGGTGTGGGTGCTGTAGTATAAGCATTAGACTGTCAACTGCAAGGTTAGCGGTTCAAACCCACCAGCTGCTCCTTGGACCCCTATATAGGGTCACTATGAGTAGGAATTGACTCTATGGCCCTTAACAATATCAGGCAAATTTCTAGAATGCGGTGAGTATGCTCCCTCACCATTTGGAGTTAACTGGCTGGGGCCTCTGTGTTACAGCCTGAAGGAGAGAACAGTGGCCAGCTGACTGTGCCTAATGGCTTTCAAACAGCTGTCTGTAGCTTGGAGGGGGTGCCACCTCTCCAACATCTGCCTGCAGGCCAATCAGGAGGGTCAGCAGGGGTGTCCCTGAAGAATTGACAGGTCACCAGGAACTCAAGTTTGGGGTTGGCTTTCCCCTTATTCAGTGCCAGCTCTAAACAATTCAGGTCTGGCTTATACTCCCCACCCCAGATACTGCCACCAGAGGGGCCCCTTACAAGATAAAGGTGATCGAAGATAAGGGAGGGCTTGTCCATCTGTCCCAGAATGAGTAGCATTTCGTTGTCTATGAACTCCTTGAATTCTTTCAAGTTACAGTTCATCTGTTTCTCTAATTCATTACGTATCTGTGGAGGAGAAAATATCAAGAAAATATGTGTTGATGTAAGCAATTGTCTGTCCACCTACAAAGAAAAAAACGTACAACAGAAACAGCTGTCCAAAATGATGTCCCCGCCTCCCTCGTTGGTAAACCCTTTTTCATTTAGACACACTCAGAGCACAGGCGTGGGTAGTGGGAAACGAGGTCACTCAGCTTCAAGTGAAAGCTGGCAGGGGGTGGGGGGAGCAGGAGGGGTGTATGTGTCATTATTCCACATTTGATTCACTGTGAGCTCTTCCTACTGAATTTTAAACATCCACACTTTTACAATTAAACATCAAATACAAATCAACTCATACCCACCACCCTAGTAAGTGAAAACCTAAAGTCCATTCCATCTTGCCTTGGGAGGCATCACAGTATGATCTGGTTGCTATTTATTAAAGAAACAGAAAGGCTGTGTTTTTTCGGAATGGCAGCTTCAGTGTCTCTGAGTCACCTAGCTTAAGCCGGCAATATAATTCATTGTGGTGGTGGTGGTGTGCCGTGGAGTCGGTTCTGACTCATAGGGATTCTGCACAGCGTTTCCGAGGCTATAAATCTTTCGGGAGGAGAAAGATGAGTCTTTCTCCTGCAGAATGGCTGGTAGTTTTGAACTGCTGACCTTGAGGTTAGCAGCCAGCCCAATGTGTAACCAACCACTATGCTACCAGAGCCCCTTATAATTCATTGTATTCTTTGGATAAATAACAACTGAAGAAAAGAAGAAACTGGGTGAATAAAGGAAGGGACAAAAGTTCCATGGTCATACTGTACTTTCTGCACAATAGATCTAAAAATTAAAGTCTAATTTGAGTACTGGTGTGGCACTGTGGTTTAATGCACTGGACTGCAAAGTTGGTTTGAACTGTAAGGGCAGTGGTTCAAGCTCACCAGCTGCTCCTTGGAAACAACAGGGTTGCTATGAGTTGGAACTGACTCAACGGCACTTAACAATTATAAAAATTTTTTTTAAAAGCGATCCAGGAAAATACTGAAAGGCAGGTACAATTTGTGCATGAGGTGTAATCATGTGGAAAAAAGACAGGTTTGCTGTATTTCTGGTAAGATGGCACATGAGTGTCGGGCAGAAGAGGGAAGAAGGGAGAAGGCTTTGAGGTTCAATCTCTATCTCACTGAATTCTCACCCAGGTTTAGAGATTTGCCTAAATATCTCAGCTGGACTCTGTGCTCTTTCTGCTGAGCTCTGCTGTCCCCAGAACTGATGGGGAACAGGATAGATGAACATCCATGCCCTTGCCTGCTAGGATGGTAAGTTCACTTACTTCTTTCGAGGTCACGTTTTCTAGATCCTGGCTCATCATGATGCTCCGCAGTTTGGCTTTGATGAGGCGTTCGGTCCTTTCCCCTTCAGTTGGCCTGAAAAGAAAAGCCCATGAGGGAGAACTACAGGAAACACCAGCTGCTCCTGGGTCTAAACATAGTGTGGTTTGGTCCCATAGATGTGTGTGTGTGTGTGTGTGTTCTCAGGGGGGCAGGAAACCCGCGCCATCTGAAGAAATCCCATAGGGGTCAACAGAAGGTAGAGCAGACCAAGAGGACAGACAGCGGTTTGGAGCCCTCTCCCACTGCCCCTGTTACGGATGGTCAGTACAGCACCCCCAGGCCACTGAGCCCTAAAGTCTCTGCTCAAGAGTCCCTGGGTGTGGGGAAGTCACACTATTGGTCCCCACTGTGCCCAGCTCCTAACAGCAGCATCCTCTTACATGGGGTCAAAATCTGTACTCCCTGTAACTTTTACACATCAGCCATCTAAAAGCTATTCCTCTGACTCATGGCAACCCCCAATGGATCAGAGGAGAACTGTGTTCCATGAGGTTTTTCAATGACTGATTTTGGGGGAAGTAGACTGTCAGGCTTTTCTTCTGAGGCACTTCTGAGTGAACTGAAACTTCCAACCATTCCTTTAGCAGTAGAGCACCACCCTTCTGTACTCAAACATAGCTCATTCCTCCTGGCCAGTCTGGGTGTCCCAGGCCTGTATCACACGGCTTCCAGGCCACTCCTAATTTTGGGTGCTCCTATCTGAATCAGATGTTGCTGCATCAAATTCCAACTCAAGGCTGGCCTGATGTGCATCAGAGTAGAAGTGGGCTGATTTTCAAAAGGGGATTGCTACACCTTTCTTCAAAGATGTCTCTGGGTGGATTTGAACCCCCAACTTTCCAGTTAGCAGATGAACACTTAACTGTCAGTACCACCTAGACTCCAGTTCCCCTCTGCACCCAACAACTTCTGGAGGGAAAGGGAGGCCAGACCAAAGGGAAGGAGAGGAGTTTGGCTGGAGCGAGACGTTCATCAAGGAGCCTGAGATCACGTCAACTCTGCGGCAGCCTCGTGATGCTCCTGATGTACTGCTGCAGCTGCTAAGGCCCTTGGCTTGTGCTTGTACGGCTGTGTACAGGACGTCATATTCTGAATAAGCAGAGGAGGAGGCTCTGGAAAGCCACTCTTGACTAGCTGGAAGAGGGAAGGCTGGGCCCCTGACTACTGCCAAGAGGCCTTCACACCCACATGTGCCTATCATTTTTAAGAGGGGAGAGATTTCACACACTTCTCCCTGCTACAGGCCCTGGGTTAGAACTGTGAATGGCACAACTCCAAGGAGAGATGTCCTGTGTGTTGCAGACCGTGTAAGACTAGTCAGAGGTTCGAGGCCCTCTAGGGCTGAGTGTAACAAATGAGGCCACTGGCAGTTAATGGAAAATTGCTTTTATCTTAATATTCAGGTATATATATTAAATTAATACACTGGAGCCTTTGAAAATCCACAGATAAATGTGATATTTTCCTAAAGCCGAGACTAAAGGTTTCAAGGTTAAACCTTTTCTCCAAAGGATTAACTAAAAATATCTTAGCTACTTCTCGGTTCTTTGTTCTATAGACAAAGAACCCATCCTCCCTAATCCCTTTTCCAGGTGCAGCCCATTCACCTGGGTGTCTCCTGCAGAACTCTCACCTTCCCCCAACTGACCTCAGGGGCTATAGATATGTTAATTGGGCCTGAGACTCCAAGTTGCTGGCCTGGGATTCGAACCAGTGAAGTACAATGTAAAGTTACCTGAATGTCTGGAAAATTACTGATGTTAGCTGTATCCTGTTTTAGTCCCTCCCAGCTTGGTGTGAAACTCCTCCCCTAAATAAAGCAGAGGCCCGGGCCTCCCCAGGTGTGCATTACTGGTTGGAAGGCATGGAGTAAAGATTGCGGTGCATTACTGGTTGGAAGGCATGCAGTAAAGATTGCAGTACATTAAGGATTGGAAGGCATGCAGTAAAGATTGCAGGGCAGTGAGTTGCTGCCTGCAGAGGCCAGGATGCCTGTAGTCCCAAGCCTGCCCACCAGTGATGTATCCACCCTGGCTTTGGGGTGCCTCGTTGTCTCCCTTCTTCTGTTTGTCTGTGTATTCTTTCGCTATCCCTATCGCCGCTGGATCTCCCCTCCTCGTGAACCAAACACTCGTGACAACTATGTCGAGGGAAAACCCCGACACTGTGTAGATTCAGGGTTTGGAGCACCCCGCAGGCATGAAGGAAGCCAGTAGGTCTGTGGGCGGGAGATGGGGGAGGTATCCACACTTACTTGTCCACGAACAGGGCCGGGGAGTCGGGCCGAGTGGACTCCACATCCTGCATGGCATTCCACTCGTTGATGCAGCTCTGCTCAGAGCAGATGCAACTCTCATAGTAGGTGGCCCAGATGAGAGCCACACCCCCAGGGAAGTAGTTGTGCCTCCGGGCCACTTCACAGGCCTTGTGGAGGACCTGCAGGGCTGACCTGGGGGGAGAAGGCAGGAGGGTTAGGCCTGGGAGCCACAAGGAGGGCAGGACTGGGCAGGGCAGGTAGGTAGGTCCTAAGGGACTCATGACTGGCCTCATTCATACACAGAAGAGTGGGGGGGGGGGGCTACAAGGAGGCCCTAAGTGAACAGTTGCCAGTGAACACCCTCATCTCTGTGATATCTGATTTCACTTCCAAAACGGGGATAGGGATGTGGGGTGGGGACGTAACTTCACAACTCTCCCAGACCAGGCTGGTTCACCTGCTGTTTTTCATTCCATCATTTAACTCCAAAGAATTAAGAGCTGCTTTTCTGAAGTGGTCATTACCTCAAACAGAAGACCCACAATGAAGCCTAACAGCTGGAAGGGAAGGGTCTTCAATATGCAACAGACCTTTGTTGTTAAGTACCTCAAGTACCACCTTCTATTTCTCAGCGCGCCCCCCAACCCCCACCCCTGGCAACCAATGTGTTGTGGTTAGCTACAGATAAATGCTCACTGGACTGCAAAGTCAGTTTGTACCAAGGTCGGCAGTTCAAACTCATCAGCGGCTCCTCGGAAACACTATACAAGGTCACTATGAGTCAGAACCAACTGGATGGCACTTAACAAGAATAACCTTTCTGATGGCCACGTCAGGCATGCAGAGTAGAACTGCTCCATAGGGGTTTTCACAAGGCTGTGACCTTTTGGAAGATCCTTAGACCTTTCTTCCAAGCATCACTCTAGTAGTCAACTGTTTAACCATTTGTGCCACTGAGGGACTCAAAATAGTGTAGATGCTTGGGTTTTCTAAGGAAATGAGTTTCCAGAAACTCACTATAACTAAGAAACTACTTGAAGTGGCACAATTGTGGCAGAAGCAATGATAATGAAAATGTAAATATTAATCGTCAATTCAGCCACTTTTGTTTTACCTCTAATTACAAAAATATAGGCGGAACGTTTCACAGTGAATGGGTGAACTAGATTACAATCTAGAGTAGAAGAATGAGGCCTTGGCATGCACATAGGCTGACCAGAAATGGCCTGATATTGCTGTTGTTGTTGTTAAGTGCCATTGTGGCATAAAACATATTGCTTTCCCAGGTTTACATGTCTGTCCTCTCTCTGGGCTGGCTGAGGGAACAAGCTGGAGTTGAGCATTTGACTGCATTTTGTTCTGGTCTAGAAGCTTTTGGAAAACAATGTGGGTTGATTAGAACAACTGATCTTGGGGTACAGAGGAGTAGCTGGACACCTCTTGGTTTACTGCCCAAGGAAGAGGCTCCCACGGTTTTCCTGAATTGCCTGCCTTCTCCCAATAGGGGTTACTCTGGGGGAGTAACTATGAGGACACACAGGAAGCACAACACGGACTCACTGCCCATGGCTTACGGTAATGGAGTCCTGGTGTGGTGCTCTAGGATAAGAACTGGACTCCTACCTGGAAAGTTGGTGGTTCGGTTCAAATCCATCAGTCACATCTTGGAAATCCTATACAGTGTTGCTATGAGTCAGAATCGACTTGACAGCACTTAACAATAACTTCTGGTCCCACAGAAAAGTGTAGTGATTCTGAAACACCTGGTATGACTCCAGTCCTCAGACACTCAGATCTGGGAGTCTCTGTCCAGCAGACTGTGGAGCTGAAACGACTGCAGAGGTGGTTTGGTGCAGAACTCCAGGCCACCAGATGGCCCAGCACTTCCTATCTGTGTAAGACAGGACTCTGTGGTATGGCCAACTCCCTCAACAAATAATAAACCCCACAAGGGCAGGAACCTTCTAGATGCCCTGTGCCTTTCCCTGAAGTGCCTGTATGGTGTGCCAGCTATGATGACTGAGCGGTTTATACTGGACAGCCATGTCACCAGGGGGACCGGACTGCTGCTCTTGGCTCCTGTCCAGTTGGCTCCAACTTAGGATGACTCTGCTGTGGGGCCGTCTTCATGATGGTTGACACACTTCACACTACTGAGTCCTATGTTGTGGCCACTGTAATTTCAAGGACCTTCAACCTAGGAGGTTTCTCTTCCAGCACTGTGTTATTGTTGTTGTGTGCTGTTGAGTTGGTTCCAACTCATAGCAATCCTGTGTCGGGTTTCTGGGGAGTGGCTAGTAGGTTTGAACCACCACCAACAAGGTTTGAACCAGCAACAACAATGCTTTTCCAACAACGCCACAAAAGGACTCCAACACTGTACTGGGCATTTAATGTTGTTGTTTTGATCCACTGACTAATTATCTGAAATAGATCACCAGACCTTTCTTCCTGGTCTGCCTTAGTCTGGAAGCTGCAGTGAAACCTGTCCACCATGGGTGACTATGATGGTATGTGAAATACCGGTGGCATGGCTTCTGGCATCCTAGCGACAGGCCAGTTGCCAGAGTACAATCAACTGATGGAAGAGTGTGTAAAACTAGTACCCCTAAATGCATATCCAAAAAGAAAGCCCTCTGCTTTCCACACTTGGCTAGAAGAATGCTTCTAAGGATGCAATAAAGTGCCCCTGAAGCACACTTACCACATGGCCTGGACAGACACGGGCTTAAAGACGTGCAGTCTCCCTGCTGTGCTCACGCTGAATCCACTGAGATCGAAAAACAGAAGCAGACAGTGTGGTGAGAAATCAGATCATTTCCAGACAACGGAGTACAGGCCCATAGCCCCCCTGGCCACCTCCAGAGAACAAGCTGGTCTCCTGCTGCCTAATGAGGCTCTACAGAGTCAGAGATGGGGTGAGGGCAAGCAAAGATTAGTCCTCAAATCAGAGGCTTGTTTTTAACCCAGCAGCGTGAGTTCTACCAAACACTGAGCCCTGCAGAGTAAGGGACCAGCAGCACGTGAAGAGGTCTCATTTTCCCTCCAAGCCCCACATGTCCCAGCTTCTTTCTTTGATAATTGCCCAGAAAATAATCTGAACTGACAAAAACCAAAAGTGTTCAAAAGAAGTATTTCACCCTAATTTCACCACTTTAACAAATCAAAGTTTCGTTTTTTCCTGCTTCTCATCAATCCTGGAGGGAGTCAGCTACTGGCTGCTGCTGCCTGAGCTGCAGAGCACTGTGGCCTTCTCCCGGGAGCAAACACACTCTGCACCCAGACAGCCCACCGGCCCAGGCCAAGCGGAGTAATTCCTCGGTTGCCTCAGGGTGGCATCTGAGATCTTATAGTAGCTGTTAGTATGTCTCTCCCCAGACACTCCCGCAGACTATGAATGCATGCTAAATATTCCCTGAATATTCATCAGGGAAGTTCCAGGGCTGGCTGGATGAGTTTGTGTCGCTACTCAGAGCGTCTTCACTTGATGCTTTAAGGGAACAATAAATGATTATCATTTACTCTGTTGCTTTTCTTGAACTCTGGCCAGTAGCGGGTCTCCTGCTTTCTTTGATCCTTCATGTAATGTCCAAAGTGTACCTTTTCTTGTGCAGCTGACAGCAAGACAATAGGTTTCTCGTAAGGCTGCTAAAGGTTGACGGTTAGAATCTACCAGCTGCTCTGCAGAAGAAAAGCCTGGCGATCCGCTTCCATAAAGGTGACATCCAGGAAAGCCCTAGGGCACAGTTTTGTGCTATCACCTGGGCTGCCATAAGTCAGGACAGACTTGGCACTAGCTTTGTTTTCGCTGGTGGCAAACACATCATTGGGGTGGTTCTACTGCTAGTGTTAGTCTCAGGGTACCCAGACCCACTTATATCTCGGAGGCGTGTTTGCAGGGATCTTTCGGGAACCCTCCTTACCCGTCTCCATCCAGGTGGATTTTTGTGTCGCTCCACAGTCGGAGCACCATGCCGATGGTGCAGCTTTTACTATGTGGGAGGAAAGAGAAGACATCTGGGGTTAGTGTCTGCTCGTAGTCACACACATCTTCCCTCTCTCCAGCCCACTGTGGGTGACACACTCTACCTGGGACAGGCTGCTGGGCAGGGACCTCCACTACCACCAAGGAGTTCTAGAAGACACGGGGAGGGGACGGCAGCTCAGCAGGGTACTACTCAGTGACCTGTGCTTAGACCCCATGGAGCCACAGACAGTGGGTCTCAGCCGAGCTCAGGGTAAAGAAAGCCACAGGCTGACCTCATGCCACTCCAGGAAAGCCCTTCACACTTGGGGACACACAAGGAAGGTGATGTGGTGGTACAGGGGTTACACTAACACCAATATGGAGGCTAATTTTTGGAAATAAAACCTTTTTTTTTTTGTATCTGTTGTTTTAAAACCCAGCATCACCTGTTTTTGTAGGTGTTTGGGGTTGGTTTTATTTGCCCATCCTAACAGTGAAGAGGAGTCCTGGTGTGGTGGTGCTACAGGCTCCACACTGGTCTGCTATCTACAAGGTCAGCAGTTCAAACCCATCAGCCACTCCTTGGAAACCCTATACAAGGTCAGTATGAATCCTAACCAACTCTATGGCACTTAACAACAGTGAAATGGCACAGGGACATGGGGTGGGAGTGGGGCTCTATCAGAGCGGTGTCCTCATGTTACCATGACAACCCTCTAGGTATTTAGGATAGTGACATCTCAGGAAACACGCCCAGCCCCTTCACCAGGCATCTGGAACTCACATCATGGCTGCCACCACTTCCCAGGTCCTGGGGGAAGAAAGTCCAGCTCCACCTCTCTGAGCCAGATCCCCCCCACTTCCCAACCCCCTAACAGCACCCACAGGGTGGGCTCTTCTCAACCATCTGCCTCTGTCTCAGTTGGGGAATTGGTTTCAGTCATTTACTCTAAGGCAGATTCTCAGATTCTCCATTGTGGTCCTACCCACTGCTGGTGGAAAGGATTGTGTTCTCCTTGCAGAGCTGCAAACTAAAATGTATGCGGACACTGACACAGCTGGCAGGGCTACTGGGCTGTTGGGGGGCTAGACAAAGAGGCAAGAAGGGTACAGAAACCGCTAGAGCTCCGCATGGGCCTGCAGAGAACCCTGGGGCCATGGTGGGTAGGTCTTTTTGGGCACCAACCACTCATGCCTGGGGCTGGTACTGAAGACTCAGGCCCAGCTGGCTCTTGGGTTTGCTAGCTGGAGGCTTTGTTTGAGGAGGCAATGTCAGGAGGGAATGCTCTTAGGTTCAGAGATCAAGCTGTCCAGAGGAAACAAGGCTGGCATCCAGACTGGCCTCCACTAGCCACATCTGTGGTGAAAGGACTGCTGAGGGCAGCTCACCAGGACAGCGAGCAGGGACTTGACCGCTACAACACCATAAACCCCCCACGGCTGTGGTTTTGTGAGTTTCCACTGTTCCTTAGTGACTGCTGTCAGCTGCCGTGGAGTGGGCTCCAAGCAGGTGGCCCTACGGATAAATTAATCACGAAGGGGATAAGCGCAGCCTGACCTCCTTAGTGATTAACAGGGCAGTCTCTACAATAGGTGGGCCTGAGTCTTTCTATATGTGGAAAGCAGAAAAGGAAGGGACAGTTAGGGAAACTGAGTCCTTTTAGAGCAGGTGTGGGGAACCTTTTTTCTGCCAAAATTTACAACAGCATTTGTGGGACATACAAAACTATCAACTTTAAAACCTAGCCTGCTATATTTGGTCACACATTTAATTAACTCACCCCTGTGGAACTGTGGGTTAATGCCCTGGACCGTAAGGTTAATGTGAATCACAAGATTGGTGGTTCAAGCTTATCATCAGCTGTTCCTCGTAAACCTATACAGGGTCTCTATGAGTCGGCACTTAATAACTGTGGTTGCCTTGGCAGGGCCAGACCAAATGATTTCACAAGCCTTATACAGCCTGAGGGCCAGATGTTCCAAACTCTTCCTTTAGAGGAATCATGACCCCTCAAGGATAAAGAGGGTGGGGACTATAGAAAAAACAGCAGCTTCCAAGGCTCCCGTGGCCTGGGGTCACCAAGGGTAAAGAAGCCAGCTGGCTATGACAAGACTCAAGATCCAAGCAGAAGGTGTGTGATGAGGTCCCCTCTGTGGGTGTTACTACAGACTGCAAAACAGTAACACTGAGAGATTAGCATCACACACGCAAGAAAGGACTCAGCGGCAGTGTTCTAACTCTTATAAGACCCCAGCCTGGTTCATGAGCTTGTTTTGCAGGAATGCAGAACTGCTGGCCCTACTGATAAGCAACTCCCTAGTCTGAGCTTGTTTTTCAGGAATGGAGAGCAGCTGGCTTCACTGATGAGCAACTCCCTACACTTTGCCCAAAGATGACCTCCCGGAGGCAATGGACAACCTCTCTAATCACCTCCTAATGTCCTGATATGGGGGCTGCAGGATAATGCACAGAACTACAAGGTCAGTTTGAACCACAAGGTTGGCAATTCAAACACACCAGCTGCTCTTCGGAAACCCTAGACAGGGTAGCTATGAGTTGGAACTGATTTGATGGCACAACAATATTCTGTGATGCTCACCCAGATGGACAGTACCTTCAGTCACCTCCCAATATCCTGTATATTAACCTAGAGGGCACTATCAGGTACGCTGTAATACTGCCTTCCATACCACCTGGCTGAAACACTGCTTTTGTCTTCCCTCTTGGTGGTGGTGGTGGTTATGTGCCGCAGAGTCTGTTCCGACTCATAGCGACCCTGTACAGGGTTTCTGAGGCTGTAAATCTTTATGGGAGCAGAAAGCCTCATCTGTCTCCCACGAAACAGCTGGCAGTTTTGAATTGCTGACCTTGTGGTTCGCAGCCCGATTCGTAACCACTACACTACCAGAGCTCCTTTAGGGACCCAGTAAAATTCCGAAACATCTGACCCTCAGGGCCAGTGCTACTCTCTGGTGTTAGGCCTCTTTTCTCCCTTGGAAAGTGTATAGAGCTCTCTTCTCTGAATTCTTTCACACCCAGCATCTCTGGCCCAATCTAACACAGCACAGAAAATGTCCCCCATCCAAGATGGCCGCTCCTGGGTGCAGACAGAAAACTCTGGAAACTAGCTAGGCACCTGCGGTAGTCATTCTGATGCTGTCTCCTCTAACACCACACGTGTAATCACTCTCACAGGAACCCACTGAAGTTGTCCTTTAGGGGGCAATGGTCACTTCTCTCTATTTTTGGAACAGGGAAATGAAACCTCATGGCAGGAATTTAGAAAAACAAGCTCATACTGCTCTCTACAGGCCAAAGGCTTCTGGTGAGGACCAGGACATTGTCTCTGAGCCAGAGGTGAACACGAGTGTGTCCCGGGGTGGCTGGGAGCTACAGGACACCCAGGCCCCACTGTCCTTAGCACCCTGGGCTCAGATGGCAGCTGCTGCAGGGCTAACAGTAGGAAGATCCCTTTGTCCCCTTGGGTCCCCATCCTCTAACCTCAGGGCCCAGCACTGGTCTTGGGTGTGTGCCTGTGGCAGAGTGTGGTTCCAGCTCAGAAAACTGAGGGAGCAGAGCATGTGCCGTGGGGCAGGAGGAGGGGTTGCAGCAGAGGAAGGAAAGGGGATGTTAGTGTGGGTGGTAATGAGCACCCAGCCCTACTGACCCATCTGCCTGCAGAGTGAACTTAGGGTCCACATGTGTGTTTCCACACCGTGTTCATGAGCTCATGATTGCAACCCTGTGAGACGATAAGCCTCCAACGTTAGCTCCTGATGCCACCCACAGCCCCTGGCAGCATGGAAGAGCGAGAAGTACACACAGGCTCCACCTATGAGTGAATGAATGAATGACTGCAAGCAGGAGGGAGAGGCCGTAGCTGAGAGAGCTCCGGGCGGCACATGAGGAGCTACAGCCCTGCTGCATACTAGGCTGACCTTGGTGGAATCACTTCAACCTCAGGAGCTTCTGTTTTCTCCTGGGTAAAACATGAGTGAGTGATACCTACTCCCAGAGGGAGGGGCTGGGTGGCATAGGTTTAACTGGCTAAAACAAGTTGAAGGTTTGAGACACCCAGGAAAGTTCCCAAATCAAAGGCCTAGCGATCTGCTTCAGAAAAACCAGCCCCAGGAAACCCTTCTGGCATGGATTGAACTGTGTTTCCCGCCTCCAAAGTATGTGTCAGTTTGGCTGGGCCACGATTAGCAGGGATTTGGCAGTTATGTAATGATGTAACGTGGCAGTTATGTGATAATGATCCCCTCCATGAGGTGGTCTGATATGATAAACCAGTAAGAGGATTAAAACACCCTGAGTGAACCCTTAGGACTCCTGGTGTGGCGCTGTATGGTCAGCTCTGGACTGTGAACCACAAGGTTGGCAGTTCAAACCCACCAGCTGCTCCTTGGAAATCCTATACAGGGCCACTATCAGTCGGGACCAACTTGACAGCACTTAACAACAGCAGCTTGCGTAGTGGGTTACGCATTGGGCTGCTAACTGCAAGGTCAGAAGTTTGAACTAACCAGATGTTCAGTGGGAGAAAAGAGAAGACTTTCTGCTACTGCAAAGATTTACAGCTACATAGGGTCACTATGAATGGGTTTGGTTTAGGTTTGTTTTATTGTTTTTCTTCCAATACTCTTGGTCCCATCTCATACAGGAGTATGTCCTGCAACAGTTTTTATCTTACAAGAGATAAAAGGAGAGGGAAGTGAACAGAGATCAGAGGGACCTACTACCACCAGGAAAGAAGAACCCGAGTGGAGTGTGTTCTTTGGCCCTGGGGCCCCTGCACTGGGAAGCTCCTAGATCCAGGGAATGATGGCCGCCGAGACACATGAAGATCTCCTAGGAATTCTGGGCCTGCAGGTGCTGGAAGGAGACAAGGACCTCTCCCCAGAGGCAGGGCTCTGAATTCAGACTTCTAGCTTCCCTGGAACCCTGGTCATGTAGCGGGTTACATGTGAGCTGCTAACCACAAGGTCAGCAGTTCAAATTCATTAGTAGCTTCGAGGGAGAAA